TTTATAAAATTACAAAATTCTTCCACGCGATTACAGTACGCGTAAAAACAAAGCGGGGGGTTCACGACTTTATATAAAAAACGAAGAGAAATTAAAAATATCGCTTTATAAGTAATTGTGGTTAGGCTTCACATGCTGATATTTTTAATTTCTCTTCGTTTTTTATATAAAATCGTGAACCCCCCCGCTTTGTTTTTACGCGTACTGTAATCGCGTGGAAGAATTTTGTAATTTTATAAAGCCAAATTCAAATTGCTCACGATTAAAAAATCGAAAATTTCAAATACCAATATCTTTCTCATTAGACTTCTGACCCGAGTGTTTCAAGTATAAAAACGTTCTGCTATGCGGTCCGCAACTTATCCTGGTATTATTTTAGGCGTAAAAACTAATAAAAAGATTTAGCAGCGCAAAAACTATATTCGAATGTGTCGGTAAAACAGATGACTTTAGCATCCTCTTAAGACGATGAAACGCGCGAAGTTAAGTTAGAGTTACCAAAAAAACAGTAACTGCAACTGTAACTTCATTACAAGTAACGAGTTACTTCCCAACCCTGATTTTTATCGTCTGTACAAATCACTGAGTTTCAGGCTGTATGTACGTACTACCACAGAGTGCTGTTAAACGGCACCCTTAATTGGGTTTAATAACATCCGTAGTTAAGGGACTGGCCAATCACGGCCATTCAATTCTTCTGAGGAATAGTTGTGAGTGGCCAATTTCGTAACTACGGATGTTATTAAACCCGATTAAAGGTAACGTGTAAACTTGCGTGCAGACTTCTGTAAAAGCTGTGCGACTGCAGCCTGAAACTCATCGATTGCACAGATGGGAACAAAGAGTACGAAAATGTGAATCCTAGTAAAACCATACTATAATTAGTATGCCCACTCTTTGATCTTTTCGGTTTCGATCACGTGGTATTCCGCCGTGTTTTTGGTGTAAAATCCTGTCACACTGATTTCACACTACCATATATACAACATCCGTCCCATTGGCTCCACCAAAATAATGGCGGATGCGCAGAAAGGATCGACGCAAAACAAAACAAACGACAGAGTGGACATACATATTAGTTATATTATGGTAAAACTGAGGTCCAGGCATTAATGCAAAAGACTACGTGGAATAATGTGACCTCACCGATTACTCGCAGATGTTTTCCACCGAGGGTAGCGGCGTCCGTCGTCAGCAGGGATAACGGCGTCGAGGAACTGTCCAGGACTTCAACGCGCGATAAATCGACGCCACGGCGCTCGCAGGCTGGACTCAGCACATCCCTGTAATACATAATGCAGCCCGCAGTTAAACGCACAGGCGTCTTTGTACCTTCCGTCGACGAATACCCCGCGATATTCCCGTAACGAAGCGTCGAGCTTCAATGCCGTCCAGGGTAATAGACCCGCGATCGCAGATCGTGATATAAAAATGATTAACGCTTGCGTTATATCGGTCGAATTAATTAAAAGTGGAAAATTGCACGAACACCTTTTGAAAAATTAGCTCCCCGTTCAAACCGCGATTACCGCAGCGATTGTAAGATAATTTATAAGCGGCCGCGATATCGCGAAGCTCTCGTCGAGAAATACGAATTTTAATTCTCGTCGGGTAATGCGAATTTTACTTTCCGCTACGATCTGTCCGTCCGCATAATCCCGGAACTTTTGAGAATAAAAGTACAGATAATTTCATTTCAGGGGCGTCTCAGCTGGATTATGACGATTAAAGGAATCTCCTTTATGAAAAGGCCTCGCGCGAAATCCGCAAAGAGGGAATATCTCGCACTTTCTGAGGGTACTTCAACTTCGAGTGAAACGGTGTAATATGTAAATGTGTAACATAGTCTTTCGAAAGTAAATTTGGCTGCAAAACATCGCACTTTTATCTTTAACGAGAGAAATTAGCTCGTTTATATCGCGCACAATTTGCATTAAAAAAAAAAAGAGATTTCAAGGCGTAATTATATGATAAGATTTAAAAATGGGTTTAGGTTGGTTAATCAGATATCTTGGACATGTGGAAAAGTTGTACATAAATAATCTCTTGTACTTTTTATGTGCAATGCTAAAATGATGTCACATTCCTTCATCAAGAAAAATTATTGTCCGTTTTCTACTGTTTATAGTAATTTTTTAATTTTTAAGATTTAATTATTCACGAGTTTTATCCTAAGCTACGATTTCACTGTCAATTTGGAAAACGTCACATTTGTTCTTCTATGCAAAGGTAATATTTTCGCTTCGCCTTGAAATGTCGTTTAGTAAATTTCATTCTTTATTTCTGCTGACACGTTAACGAACAGCTTCTTTTTTTAAATGCGCCTTGCATATAGTTTCCCGATATATCTACTTCCATCCCAGTTTCTTGAAATAACTCTGTTAGTTTCGAAGCACTTAGTCGACGGTTACTTTTAACTTTTCGTATTGCGCGTCTGTTTCAATAATCAAGAAGTTCCTGGTCTGTTTCAATGCTGTCGGAATACTCGATCCGGCTTCCACGTTTATTGTATCTCACAATGACGTTCCATATTGTGCTTGCGCATATATTAAGCGAAGCTGTAGTAATTCTACGAAGGCATTTGCTCTTGTCGCGATAAAAGAAAAACAAACTGCAGTAAAACGTCAAGTTTTCGCGAGCCGTTTCAATCTTTTAAACGCAATATACATTCCGCAGAGACGACTTATATTCTGCCGTCCTAATCTAAAAAGCAGTATCTCCATTTTTTGGCCATTGTAGTTAACTTACTTTCTATGTTTCTTACGCCCGTTTCTACCAATGCAGATTAACTTTAATCTTGGCTTAAATTACTTCTTGTCTTTTTCCAATTCGTAAAACTAGAAAACGATACAAAGTAAGTTGAACCGAGATTAAGGGGATGCTGGAGTGATTCTGCACTTTTGCACCTTTCTAACCTAAAAACTGTCAGTTCGCGGAAACATTTGTGTAATATACAAATTAAATGGCTTACGTGTACAGATCGAAAGCAGCTCGCTATTCCGGCCAAATGAAAGAACAATATGGCATCACTGAAACTAACAATAAGTTTGTAAGTCTAATAAGAAATAATAGTGAGCAACACATACATACAGTACATGTAGTACAGTACAGCTCATTATTATTTTTTATTAGACTTACAAACTTAGTTTCAGTGATGTCATATTATTCTTTAATTTAGCCGGAATAGCAAGCTGCTTTCGATCATCTGTACACGTGCCATTTAATTTGTGTATTACACAAATCTTTCCACGAAACAGACAGTTTTAAGTGCAAAAGGTGCGAAAGTGCAGAATCACTCCAGCATCCCCTTAAAGATAAACTGCGTTGGTAGAAATGGGTATTAGAGTATATATCCGTTGTCCTACAAGGCTAGAAAGCAGTAAGAGCACTAGATTAACATAGAGTAACTTATACACGTTGCAGTATGTCTACCTGTTATCAGCAATTCATAAGCTAAACCGCAGTATACTGCACTGTCTACAAGCCTTAAAAACAGTATCTCCCACTAATTTATAATATATTCTGCCGTCCTAACTTAGAAAGCAGTATCGAAACTAACAATTTGGGAGATACTGCTTTCTAAGTTGGAACTGACAAATTGCAAAAACAGCAAATCTGGTTTAACGCGACACGCGAGTCATAACATTGTACGTCAATCCTGATACTCTCTACGGGCCCTTAGAGCTAGGTAACCAGAGAAGGCGATCAAGTTGTTGCCAAGTGGAGGAATCAGAAATTATTATGCGCACCCTCGTCTCAACAGATGAAACTTGCCGTCCTCGTTTTCCATTCATCCCGTCGAGAACTTGGCTAAATTACGCGAAATTATTGCCACGTGGTCTTCCATGTTAATGTAAATCGCCGAAAATTTCACTCCTCTTACCGCGGCAGTCTGTAAACACGTTAATTTGCGAAACCAACAGCAAAAATTACGCAATCAACGAGTAACGACGTAAAAAGGTCGAAACAAATTTCAACAATCTATCGATGTAACCGGGTGTGATTTACGTTAATTATTTTACACGAATATAAACCAAATAGAGTGGCGAGATGCGAACCGCCGAAAGTTGAGCGTTAACAAATGTGAAATTTATTGCGTCCGAATTATGTCTAACAAATTATTTGACGATTCTAACGAAATTATTATGATTAATGGCGTACGTCAGCTAATGTCAAATAGAAATGAACATCCCGTGCATATTAATGAAAAGATGTATCTCCTCGAGTTGAAATTTTGGCCCTATGTTGAACCTTTAATTCCATTATACATAGTGGGACCTAAGACAGTAAAAGAGGTCGGACTGACAGTACAAAATTTACTCCTGCTTTAAAACTGACAGTGTCGGAAATTTCTACTTTCGCCAATTTAGTATTAAAGTAGGTCCTTTTAAGTAGGAGCTAAAGTCAATTTTTACAATCAAAGATTCAAGGGAGGAGTAAAAAAAATTTTTAATCATCAAAGTAGGTTATCGCTGGTCTGTGCAGGTGCGTAGATCAGCTAAGTAGTTGTAAATTATCCTTAAAAGTGTCAAAATAGTACAAAAATTTCGACGCCATGTATTTTATTGCAGCGAGTAATCGAAGGGAAAGACGCGTCGTTGTAATTTGACATTACCGGTCGTTCTTCTTTTTGTAGCCTAAAATTGACTTCCCAGTTTCCTGAATATCACTCGGTTTTTCCGGCGGCCTATTCCGAAAGCAGGAAGAGGAGCGCCTAATGAAATAATGGTGTAAGATAAAACAAAAGGATCCTCCCCCGTAGGAGGTGTATAGCGCTTCAGACAGTGACAGAACTGAAATTCCGTCGGCGGAATCGGGGGGGGGGGGGGGAGGAATAAGAAATTAATTATTCAGCCACGCTTTACACAACTCCACCAATTATTCAGCTTTTTTTTTTACATCGCTCCCTTCTTCAACGTTAACTGTAATATTGTATCCAAACAAAAGCTTCGTTCTTGAGCCGTCGCGTTTTGAAAGCGTGTCTTCGTAGCCATTATTCTCGTCGCAATAATTCGCCCGATGTTACTAGCTGAATGTATTTTATATCGCATCGTTTTCATGCTTTATGTATGCGTGTGTGTGTTTCGAAAATCAAACTCCAGTTAATCGGAGATCGCTTAAGTCACTGATTCTATCGAATAGCAAGATATCGAGTAAAAAAGTTGGATAATGTCGCGGCCGCATCAGGGTCGGGGCTAAAAATTCGCGGAACTAAAAATTCGAAACAAGTTGCAGTCCGGTGCAAGTGGAGTAAACCGATGACGCAATGCCATGAAATCGAAAGCGGTGCACGTGGCTCGTTCAAAGTACTTAAAGGTCGAATCGTCATCACGTTTGACGATCCGGTTTCCACGTAATTTTTTTTTATTTTACGTTTTATAGGCTTTGCCAGCTTTCGTTTCAGCCGGATAAAGTGGCACTTGTACTCGCGAATATCGTTTTTTAAACTTTTATGCGTTCCGACTTTTGAAATCGAGTACCGTTTTTTTTTGTAATAAAATGCAACATTAATCCGGCATCGAATTTCGTGACGTCAAGGCATCGGCGGATAAATAAAGCTTACGAATTCCCTTTCAGTCTCCACATGAATTAATGTCAATGTAACTTGCCACTTCGCAGATTTGAAAAGTTAAGGAATCAGTTTAAGATTTTTCAAAAGTACAAGTAATGGAAACAACAATAGCAACAATTTTGGTAAAACAGACACATTAAGTAGTCATGATATAAAATCGCAGACTTGCAATATATTGTAAAAATAATTTTTGCCACAACATTAATTTTAATGTTGACTTTTTGGATACGGCTTTTCATCGAAAAGCAAGTAGCGCGTTCGTTCGATCGAGAGCGGCTACTCTCGATAATTATTTCAAACACGCTTTGCACATATTAGCACACAGTGTCCATCGAGCTTTAATCTCTGTACGAAGAAAATGCAATCTTCGCAGCGCACAGAATCGCGCGTTTCTCCTTTATTCCGCGATATTTCCTTCTACAGTCACGACACATATCGCTCCAGCAGGACTGTCCCTTCGCGCCCTGTTCATGTTTATTGAACATATCCGGCCGCATTAAATCGCTATAAATCACTGGCTGATGCGACAGCCACCCCTCAGCTGGACGAGCACGTGTGTGCGCATATACGTATATGAGCACGTCACACTCTAAAGTCTAAATAGTGGTATGTCATTTCAAAGCGAGTGACGCAGCGATATTCGCAGTTAATACACATTCCCCGATGTTTGACTGCCAACGTGAGATACTCCGAAGAAGGAAAGCAAGAAAAAAAAGACAGAGAGAGAGAGCTTCCAGTCTTGTGCACTGAGAGAAAAGTGCGTAGTATTTGC